ACCCTAGTAGCGATGGCCTCCAGCACCCTAGTTGCGATGGACTCCACCACCCTAGTTGCGATGGCCTCCACTACCCTAGTAGCGATGGCCTCCAGCACCCTAGTAGCGATGGACTCCACCACCCTAGTTGCGATGGCCTCCACTACCCTAAAAGCGATGGCCTCCACCACCCTAGTAGCGATGGCCTCCACTACCCTAGTAGCGATGGCCTCCAGCACCCTAGTAGCGATGGCCTCCAGCACCCTAGTAGCGATGGCCTCCAGCACCCTAGTTGCGATGGACTCCACCACCCTAGTTGCGATGGCCTCCACTACCCTAAAAGCGATGGCCTCCACCCGAATGGCGATAATTGACTGTATTTTTCTAGGGTCACCGGCGCACCGGGAGCGTTCGGCGCAAGGTTGGTACCAAGGAGTTGTCCTGCTTCGCCTCTCACACTGACAAACTCACTGAGTGCTGTGGATTGGTTGGCATATGTGAGAAGTGAAGCCAGTACGAAGGTTGGGCAGTCTTCTCAGTCACCGCAACAATAGAGTTCAGCTTGGACCAACTTTTCACAATAGTTGATCTTTGACATGGGCCACTAATGACTAATGACCATGCTGAATATCTCCAGTGTCAAAGCTGCGGCCAAACATCAATCCCCCATACTAGCGGCCATACGGATGAAACGAGCAAGATATCGTGGTCCGTGCAAGACAAAAAACCAAAGACAAGTCTGCAATGTGCTCAAGCCTTTCAGCAAAAAGGGGGTCATTTGTTGATCTTTGTCGATCTTTGTCTCAAAATCTGGAACCAAATCATCAGTGCGAGCGTGAGCTATCCTGCCTTCACTAGCTAGGAGCTTCCTAGTAGCTAGTAGCGAACTACTCCCTTACTTCATGAAGTAGGCAGGGACAGTGGGAAAAAAAGGCATTCTCAATGTCTCAATGTTCCGCAAAACCGAGTGATTCCCGAGCGATCCTGAGAAACCACATGTGAACACGTGCCTGCATATCGTCGGTCAGAACTCGCACTGTCACCCCACGCCTCTGGGGGATGGGCAGCTCCAACAGTTTCTATTCGTGTGAAGAACTTCTGTCTTAAGGTGAAGGGGCATGCTGGGCAGAAGAGCTCAGGCTTCTTGAAGAGGGGAGTGTCCTTGAAGAAGCCATCAAACTATTCAGTTGGCTTCTAGGGGGAAACCTAAAAAACATCAAAGAAGGAGAAAACACGAGAACACGAACAAACCAAGGAGGAACAGTAAATCAAATGGTGCTGCTGTTGGAGCATTGAGTTGCGCAACAACAGTCCCGGTTGCACGTAGATGTTGTTGCTGGTTTTGGCGCTGATCGCTTCGGGTTGGCTTTCATGGTATTGGATGGAAGATTCGTGTGAACTATCGCAGAAACGCGGTTCAAGCACTACTAGTAACAAGTGCCACGCTAGTAGTAACAGGTGCCTTACTAGTAGTAACAAGAAGCTATTAAAATTAACGAAGGATAAGTTTACGGTGTAGTGTTTCGTTCGAGTGCTTCCCGGATTGATGTGAACTTGTCCGACCCTGTCCTGTGTGCATCCAGCAAAGCAGCAGCCAGATCTTTGTGACTGATACTAAAGACCTTGGTGAGTGAGAAAGCTACTAGGAACAAGTGCATCGCTTCTAGTAACAAGTGCCATACTAGTAGTAACAATGTTTGCTATTAGAAACAAGTGCCTTACTACTAGTAACAATAACAATTGTAATTAAACGTAATTAAAAATAAATTAATAGCAAACATTGTTACTACTAGTAAGGCACTTGTTACTACTAGCAAAGGAATCTACTAAAGACCTTGGCGAGTGAGAAATGACGAGTCCGAGACAGAGAAGCGATGACCTCCAAACTCCTAGCTCCTAACAGCGATTTACTTTTAGGGGTTAGGCCACTAGAAGCGGTAGGTCAGGTAGCTACTAAATACAGGGAAGCTCCCTACTCGACGCAGGATCGCTCACACTTCTTCAAGGAAGCTCCCCCTGCCGCCCTTGAAGAAGCGCTCGCTCGCACTTATGATCTGGTTCCAAGAGACGCTACTAGGAACAAGTGCATCGCTACTAGTAACAAGGGCCTTACTAGTAGTAACAATGTTTGCTATTAGAAACAATAAGCTACAATGTTTACTTTTTTCTAATAGCAAACATTGTTACTACTAGTAAGGCACTTGTTACTAGTAGCGATGCACTTGTTCCTAGTAGCTTCCTACCCCCCCCGCGCGCGCGCGCTTGCGCGCGAAAAGGTCCTAGTAGATTCCTTTGCTAGTAATTACAAGTGCCTCGCTAGTAGTAACAAGTGCCTTACTAGTAGTAACAAGAAGCTACTAGAAACAAGTGCAAAAAAATAAATAAAAAGTAAACATTGTAGCTTATTGTTTCTAATAGCAAACATTGCTACTACTAGTAAGGCCCTTGTTACTAGTAGCGATGCACTTGTTCCTAGTAGCTTGGGCATTGGAAACTTAACGATGTGGTCTGGGCCATCCGGACAGCAACGTCCAATTGCCTTCGCGCGCTTCGTAGGAGCTCCAGCAATCGCGAAAGGCCTTTGTTCTTTTCCACGCAAAAGAAAAGACAAAGAAAGAATAAAAGGAAAGGTAAGAAGTTCGGAAGAAGGGAAGGGAAGAGCAAGGACGCTACTAGGGGCTCCTGGCCTTACTACTAGGCAAGAGGCTACTAGGGGCTACTGGCATCTAGTGCGAAAGAAACTATTTTAGGGGCCTTACTTTTCTTTTCTTTATCCTTTGCTTTGTCTTTGTGTGATGCCTTCATAAATAACAAGCATTCTTTTTTGCCTCACAGTTCTAGGATGCAACTCAGTTTCTGTTCCAACCCGTCTGAGGATCAAACCAGTCTTGACTTCATCATCCGGAAAGAACAGGGCCTGGCGGAATCTCATAGAATCCCCTGTAGCTTCTTGCTCCGTTCGTAGCGATGCCAGGAGCCCCTAGTAGCGATGCCAGGAGCTACTAGTAGCGTCCTTGCTCCTAGTAGAAATGCCTTTGGACACGTGAAAACAGGATTGAACATTGGAGTGTGGACGCGTCACCATTGGTGGGATCAAAGAAACCTTGCGTTGCTTACTATTACATTCCAGGAGCCTGTAGCGCCAAGGTGTTTTTGGAAAACTTACTGGCTGCTATTCAGGGGTCGATTTTTGTGCATACTGGGCATTGAATGTGGATCATGACTGGCAAAACCTAGTCCATGCAAGTCCTACCACAAAAATGCTACAACATTTTTAGCTTCTTGAAAGTTCGCAAAACATCCGCACCTCCTCTGTTCCACTTCCAAAGCACGAGCCGAAAGAGCCTAGCTCGAAGAAATGGCTGGAAAGAACGCCCAAAATCGAGTTCTCCAGACAAAGAGGTTTATTCGGCTGAATGAAAAGAACGAAACAAATACAACATAAATACTTGCAACAAATACTTGTAACAAACTCGTATCTTGTCTCCAAAAAAGGGTACCGAAAGTTCTCCAACGAATAAAGTCTTCCATACTTTTCAAGCCTCTCCTCTTTTCAGTGTTCTGACTTGCTCCTTCAATTGGCGTTTCTTGCAACCCACCTTGTACACATCGAACAGTGCTCTGGCAGCAAGCGAAGGGACCTGTTCATGCCCGTGTATTCACGTTTCAAACAGCCTAAGCTCTGCCAAAGAGGCAACCATGGTGCACAGAGTTGACCAACCCGGAAAACATCTGGATTCTCATGTTCGGATTAAGTGAGCTCAAACAAACATGTCCTTCAAAGGAGGTACAAACACATTGTAAAAAAAGAAACTAGAGTGTGACAACCTTTCAAACAAAACCTGCACACCATCCAAGGAAGGACCTGTTGGCCGCGAAAGTGGTTCCTTTTTCGCTTGCAGTCCAATAAGACAAACATGCCTCTGATATTTGGCAGGTTATTGGTGTTTAGTCTAGTTGTGGAACAAAATATTATCCATGAACACTAGTAGCATCCACATTTGCATGTTTAAGTTCCATGTCTCCACTATAAACCACAGGCCCTACGCAACTCTTCGAACACAACAATTCAACAATGAACAATGATCATGCCATTGCTCAAGATTGTTCCCCTTAGTCTTCAAGAGGTTTGTAGAGACAATCATTTAGAAGAGAAGGAAAAACAATGAATTCAAAAAGACAAGGAAAAAAGGGCAACAGCAAAATCAACCGGTGTTTAGTCGTTTGTTGGCCTGGAAGACAGGCGAAGAACTGGTATGGCTTGTCGTCATCTGAGCGCTGCAGGCAGAACCGACCAACTGCGGTGAACTAAAAAAATTAGGTATAAGTAGTAACAAGAAGCTATTAGAAACAAGTGCCACGCTAGTAGTAACAGGTGCCTTACTAGTAGTAACAGAAAGCTATTAGAAACATACCTTTTGACCGACCTCATTCCCAACCTGAAAGCACAAGGCGCTTAATGAGGCAATATCACCACACATCTGATCACATATTTTTCGCCACGTTTCTAATTCGACAGAAACCTTTCCTTCCTACCAACTAGTAGTAACAAGCAGATACTAGTAACAAGGGCATGACTACTAGTAGCTCGAAGCTACTAGTTACAAGTGCCTCGCTACTAGTAACAAGTGCCTTACTAGTAGTAACAAGAAGCCATTTAGATTTAATTTAATTCTAATTGTTACTACTAGTAAGGCACTTGTTTCTAATAGCTTCTTGTTACTAGTAGTAAGGCACTTGTTACTAGTAGCGATGCACTCGTTCCTAATAGCTTCCTACCCCCCCCCCC